GTTTTGCTAGTGTTTGTTTTAATTTGAGTCACATAATCAACCGAGATTGCAACCTTTTTTTTCTTTGTTGCTGTTTTTCTTTTGCAAACAAATATGTATGCAGTGCAGTTTTGGGAAAGTAGTAGTATGGCCTACTGATAGAAACATACATGGAAAAAAGCCTTATGTTAAGTCTTCACTGTTTACTCCGCTGCTTTGTGCAAAATCTCACAGAAACAGAGATGCTACACTCCTAAAACTACTGAAAGTGGACATTTAGGAATGTGGCAAATAGTTTCCACATTCTGTAATGCACTGATATTTAAATGTGTTGTTTGAAAGGGACTGCTTTTTTAAAAGCGTTTATATTTTTTTTTTTCGCAGTTGCCTGTGTGCTGACCACATAATGACCTCCAGACTGGAATTCAAATTTTGAAGCACATCTTTTACATTGGTCAGTGTTCCAATAATAAACTAACTGGAAACCTAGAACATGTGTTGAGAATTGTGATTTGACTTTCTCTTTTTTTCTTCATGCCTCGAGGGATTTTGCAGAAGAATGTCAAGCTTTTTGGAGGGTTTAGGAAACTATTTGGCATCCCTCTCTCCCAGTGGTGCCCTTCAGTTTGAATTATGTGAAAGAGGCTCTGCATCTGCTGAATATAAATTCTTCCATCATCTATTTTTGCATGTGGTGGTTTGCACTTTTCTTTTTAAAGATTTACACTCTGCATTCTTTGATTTGTTTGATTTCTGAATGTTTCCAGATCCAGGTTTTCCATCACTTTTTAACATGATTATGGCAAGTCGACAGCACATGGGATCATGCAAATGTGTTAACCCTTTTTTGAGATAGAGAGGCCAGCAGGGGGTGCTCAACCTGTCTGTCCTGTGGCTGCTGTCCAAGTAGATGCTGCACACTGGTGATGGTGTGGAGAGACCCCCCAAGCCACCTCCTCCCTCATGATTTTTAAGTAATTTGGGTGTATGGCTATACACAATAAATGCGCTAGATAAATAAAAATCATAAATGAAATGGCTTAAGCATAAACTGATTGTCACAGTTTTTCCTTCTTAAAGGTTCTGCATGTAAGTTCATGACTCTAAAGCATAAAAACATCACATTATATTTGTAGAGATTTAAAAAACATGCTAAATGAACATTCTTGTTTATCTGAAAAACAATCCTAAAGTCAGTTATTTTCTTTTAAAAATGTGTGCTTTATGTCAGAACGTCTGTCTTTGTTTTGATCTCTATAACTAGCCCACTGCCACTTTACCCAATTATAGTTCAGCACCCAGGGTTGCCTTGGTGGAAAACTCCGGTCCATGTGATGTGGGGCCTGTTTCAGAAAGGAGGTTAAGTGAAAACTCAGAATATTGTAACCCCGCAATGAGATAAACCCTGGGTTTTCTGTTTCAAAAGGGCAGGTTTGTTAAACTCGAGAAAGCAGGGTAAGTCAAGCCTGTTTCTGAAAGAGAGGTAATTTTAACTCAGAGTCAGTTACTGTGGTAACTTACTCTGTGAACCTAACCTGGTCAAGAGCAGGTTTTATTCTCTAAACTCTGAGTTTCTGTCAGTCTCCTCCCCTTTTTTTAAAGACGAATCTGTATTTCTCTCCTCAGCCTTACGTTTCCACCCACCTATTTTTATGCTCATTTTGGATATGTGCATAAAAACGATTGATGGAAACGTCATGATGCACATAACTTTTAAAAAGAGGCATAAAAACTGCGCATAACTGAGTAGGATCAATTTTTATTCGATAGAAAACATGTGCCTAAACTACAATGGAAAAACTTTTACTGAACCAATTATAGTATGTGCATTAAAAAAAGGTTTGTTATAAGAGATCAAATGACGATGAAAATGTGTGTGAATGGACAAACCAGCAGGCTGAGCACACTGTAACACATCTTAAATGTTGTTTTGGTCATTAATTCTAAAACGCCTTAACTGTTTCAGTATTAATGTTTTTATATTATTAATGACCTCCAGAGCGTTTAAAATGTGTTAAGAGCGTCCGTTCTCCACATTTCATGGCTTCAAACGCCCCCAAGTGTTCATTGTGTGTTCGCATTGTCTTCTGAGGCACAAGTACATTTATTATTAAGTAAATTTATTCATATAAATTCAATATTTATTAAATAAATAAATTCTGAACAGAATAAATTCTGTTTTTCCATGTTGATATTTGGTGCCCGTTTTATCAGGAAGTGATGATTTTGTTCTCTTTGAATCGTTGGATGGAAACGCTGCTTTATTCGCACATCTTTTATGCGTTATTCCAGTTTTGCACATAAATTTAATTAATACATTTAAATGGAAACAGCTATTAACTACATTTTAGTCACACAAAGCACCAAGTAACGTACGAGAATGGCTTGTCCTTTTTTTTAATAAATAATGAGCTTAAATTCACTGACCTTCGAAAGGGACATGTACTGTAACTAGATTAATGGGATTAAGTTTCTTTCTAAAAACTATTGTTTAGTTCTGCTTCCATTTTAAATGTCATATCAACCTCTATCACTTGATCAATAAAAAAGCCAGACACAAGTGCACTTTTAAATCTATTAAAACAGATCAACGTGTATAAAAGTAAGAACGTGTGTAAAAATGTGTATAAATGTCACACATAACATTACTTATTTTATTATTAATTATTATATTAAATATTTAAATACTTTAAATTAAAAATTGCGCATTAACTTCAGCTGTTTTCCCTCGCTAACTGTCTCTGTTTCACAGATGCAGTGGTGTTGCTTTTTAAGATGTATGATGCTCACATTTGCTATAACTTTGCTTGAGCACATCAAGTTCAGCTGGAGAAAGAAATGATGACCTTTTTCAGATGTTGTCATGGTCACTCGTAATATCTGCGCTCTATTGATAAGGCCTTTTTATAGTCACAGTGTGCTGGCTTAACTCTTGAGTTGGTCTGCTCAAAGTTGATTGACCTAACTCAGATTCACTAATATGAAACTGAAAACTCAGAGTTCGGTAAATCCACTCAGAGTTCAAGTTTAAACTCTGAGTTAGTTTAACCTCCTTACTGAAACAGGCCCGTGGTGTTTAAATAGTAAACAATATAAATATTACAAATGTAAACATTAGCTGAGCATGGTACACTGTAACGCTGTGTCTTTTTAACATGTCCAATCCCATTTCTATTCTTTACCTCTACCCCTTTCCCTTGGCCCTTGAAACAGAGTGTGAAATGGGACAGCACTGCAGCACCTGCACATGTCATCCTATGTTATCGCGATCTCCTGCTTCAAATGAGATCAGATGATCATGACTGCTGTTGTTATTCCAGTTGGTTTTTTTTTTTTTTTTTTTGTATTTGTCTTCAGTAAATCACTGAAGGCAACAATATCATATTGTCATAATGATATCTTGTGGCAATTATACAGTAACTGTACTGTGCATTTACACCGTGGCCATATTATCTATGTAAACACAAAAAACAACATTAACATTATAGCAGACACTGTAAAAAGCCCATTCCCAGCCACTAGACTTTTCTGACAGGGTATTTGAGTGTCATCGAGTGTCAGAATGTTGTGGGACTGCTATACAAGAGTTATTATTAGGGATTAAAGATCTTGAAATTTTAGCAGTTTTTGTTTTAGAGAGTTTTCTTAAAAAGCATGACGGTAAAACATGAACACGGTTATGAATGTATTTAAACATGCTTGTTTGTTGTAAAAATTCATAATAACGACAAAAAATACTAATTTGTGGGTCTCCTTCCGAGTGCAGCTGTGGCTGATGTTTTCTGGGAAATTTTCTCACTCCTTGGTTTCGAGTGTGGACCTGAAAAATCTCAGTTCGAAGTGGTATGTAGCCCTTCCCCTTAGCCCCATGCCTTTAAGCTAAAGAGAATTGGGACATCCCTACCCCATCATGGGAACAAGCAAAAAAGGGATAGGGCTAAAGGGAAGGGCTAAGGGGTAGAATTGGGATTGGGCCTAAACCTCTTTAACCCTTTGATGCACTACATGGGTCTTAAGTGACTCGTCTAAGCTTATTTGTTCTATATCTATTTTATAGCTTGTGCATGAAAGGGTTAACATAGTAAATTAGTAAAAGTAAATGCTCAGTGACTGATATTTGCTGGTTTGTTGGAGTCACAGCTCTAAAGTTCAATTTCAAATGGTTTCTTTTATTTTTAAGATCTGAGGTGAACTGTCTGCTGCTGCTTCAGTGGCATGGCAATAAATGTCATGTAAAATGACATTCAAACTAATATTTATAACATTTAACACAGAGTGAAACACATAATCATTACCTGAAGTGATCCTTGTCATATAATTTATGGTGCTGTTCAGCCATGTGAAATTGAGGCCGTTTCTAAAATGGAAATTTTAGTTGATTGCTAGGACAAAAATTAATTTTAACATGGAAAATATTCCTTCTATCATGTATAGTTATGATATTCTGTAGGCTCGATAGTCAGACACGCTATCTCCTGCTGGTGTCGTCAATCTGGTAACCTGCATTTGTGTGGAGTTGTCAGAGGAGGGGCAGAGTGAAAAAGTGTTTTGAATTTGGAGTGCAATACCTTGTTTGACATCTGGGTGTCAGTCTTACATACTGCACCTTTAAGCTCTAGAATCAGTCTTCCCACAGTTGCAAACTTTTAGCTGGGTTTTATTACTAATGTGTTATAAACATTGTTTACTATCATTTCTGAGTTATTGGTTAGCATGGCACACCTAGTTATTTTAAAAATTGGGATTGTGTATTAACATGAATGTAGTCATATTATTGTTAAATTGCTTTGAAGCTTTTGTAAAGGGTGGAAACAGAGGTCTCTTTCATTACAGGACGTCCCGCATGTGTTTGGGTCCCAGGGAGGGGAACATTCCTGAGCACTAATGCCAATGAGCTGTTATGTGAGAAGAGAACAGCCAAAGGAACGCTGGCATACAAAAAAAAAATAAATACTGACTCTTCAATGAAGCAACTTCCTTTGTTTTTCAGTGGCCAAAAAGCTCAAGCTCTGGAAAAAAACTGTTTACTAAAACTATGAGGTTTATTTGGTGGTTATAAACAGACATTGTTCCCTCTGAATGAAATACTGGGTTAAAATGACTCAAGTATGAGTTATGAGGTGAAATCAATGTTGGGGATGTTTAAATCAGCAGGGGTCATCACATGCGTGACCGCAGGTGGTCGGGCAGCACTTCTGTTTAGCAGGACACTGGCCATCATGATAACAGTATTCAGCACACATTGGGGTTCCCCTCGGTAAGGCACATCGACCAGGCTTCACTGCGTGGACAGCACAAAAATGTGAGCAGAGACACACTGAGCAACAGTGAGCAGTTTTACACACTTGGCAAGTTGGGTTCTACTTCTTCTCATGTTTATTAAAGCCACCATATGCCTGGACAGGGGTGATAAAGTTCAATTCAGGTTAATTTTTTTGCCATAGAGAGTACAAAAACTTAAACTTTATAATGTAATATAAAATAATAAATTGTGATTTAATAGTTAAATCTGTATAATAATATCAAAAAATTATAAAATCCCATAAAATAATACTATTAAATGTAATTAAAAGCCGTCCCAAATAATATAATATAATTAATATAATAATATAATATAATATGATAATTAGTGCTGTCAATCAATTAATAGCAAATAAGCACATTTTAAATTACTACCTGTCTTCAGTTCCTGCTTGTTCTAGGGACATTTCAGTTTTATATTTAGCAAGTGAAATGCAAGCTAAATTGGATTCGGATCAGGTAATTGACTTGGCCATTGCACAACAATCTACTTCTTTCCCTTTAAAAACTTTTTGGTTGCTTTTGCAGTATGCTTTGGGTCATTCTCCATCTGTGAAGCACCGTCCAATGAGTTTCGAAGTATTTGGCTTAATATGAGCAGATAATATTGCCTGAAACACTTCAAAATTCATCCTGCTGCTTTTGTCAAAAGTCATGTCATCAATAAATGCAAGAGAATCAGTTCCACTGACAGCCATACATGCCTACACCATGTCACTACTATCTCCATGCTTCACTGCTTTAGGGATCATGAGCAGTTCCTTTCCATCTTCATACTATTCTCTTCCCATCACTCTAGTACAAGTTGATCTTGATTGCATCTGTCCATAGGATGATGTTCCAGTTATATCTGCTCATTGTAATTAGGATAATGAGGAAATAACACATGCCTGGCCATGGAACAGTTTAGAAGTTACTTTTGGTCCTTAACAAGTGGCAGGCACATATGCAAACTGTTGTAATTCCTACGCCGTTCACCTGATTTAGATGTAAAAAAAAAACTCACAGTCTGCAGTTAAAGCACATCTTGTTCGTTTCATTTCAAGTTCATTGTGTTAGTGTATAGAGTCTAAAATGTTAGAATTGTGCCAATGACCAAGTATTTTTGAACCTTCAAGATTAATCTTTTGACAGCACATTATAATATAATATAATATAATATAATATAATATAATATAATATAATATAATATAATATAATATAATATAATATAATACCTGTATATGGAGGTGTACATTCATGTCCACATCCATTGCTGCAGCATTTCTCATTGCTGGGACAATTGCTGTCATTGACACAGTACTCGGCACACATTCCTGCTCCAAATCTTCTGTGTGGACAAACTCCTGGCTTCGCTGATTCACAAACAACAGAAACTACATCACTAACTGATGAACCGCTTGTAAATTTAGAACGCTTTTGATTAAGATTATTAGACTATACCTTCTAATAAGAACATCTACCACAAAACTACTTGTCACTTAAAATGAAGCAATACCTGAGTGATAATATAAATAGTGCATGCTAATTCTCACAACACATGCAGAAATACGCCCCAAATAGAGTGGAAATGTGTCAGGGGAATCCAAAAAATTATAAACCTGACTGTTTCATATTTAAAGTTTTTCTTTATTTTAACATCCTTGTCATACAGTTCTTTGATTTTTGTATAGACCCTTTTGAGGGATGTAAACAAAAACAATGGTCTTGTATTTCTTGTTTTACATTTTTCATTTCTAAAGCTTTAGGGAATCCAAAAAGAGTCAGATATTGATGAATAATGTTGTGACAGCTGTTTTAACATTAAGTTATGATTGAATTGCCTGTTCTTACAGTTATGAAATAATTTGATAACAAGCATGAAATGTTCATGGGCCAATGACATGACCACATTGAAATGGTCTATATACTGATGACTGAAGCAGAAAGCAGTTGGGTTCGTCAATTATTGGGGTCCCCTGACACATTTTCGATGTGGTCTGCTCTGTTTGCAGCACATTTCTGTATTTGCATGTGTAGGGACATTTTTTGTGTGTGCGTGTGTGTTGTCAAAGTGATGAAGATGTTTTATTTTTCAATTTGTACATGTTTTTCCATATTCATGGCTGCGTCCACAGTGCGCAGCGCAGTAGGTAGTACTGTCGCCTCACAGCAAGAAGGTCGCTGGTTCGAGCCTCGACTGGGTCAGATGGCATTTCTGTGTGGAGTTTGCATGTTCTCCCTGCGTTCGTGTGGTTTTCCTTCGGGTGCTCCGGTTTCCCCCACAGTCCAAAGACATATGGTACAGGTGAACTGGGTTATCTAATGTTGGATGGAAGCAGCTAATATTAATTGACTAAGGGCAGATGGTTTCTGACTAACTACTGAGAGATTGTCAGCTGCTGTCTGGGCTTTCACTGCTTTGTCTTTACATCATTTAATATTAATTCCATTTGTAAACTAATTAGATTTGTTTTCTTTGCAAATGTGGATTACTTTGGTTGATACCAACATCTGGTGAAAATTCCCAGTCAACAGCATCTTAAGAAATAGGTTTTCTGAGAAAAATAGTGATGTGTTCAATACGTATTTCCCTGCTGCATACTGAATGTGAGCAGTAATGTAATGTATTTTTTTATTTAATGCCATGTTAGTAACCAAGGGTATTTTCATGGCAGGAACATTTCAATAATAAATGTACAATAAAAAATAAAAAAAACAAATGAAAAAATAAATTAAATAAGATTTTTTGTATTAATATATGGTAAAAATACTAAATTCTTTTCTGGTGTCACTTTGCTAAAAATGTAATTAAGAAAGTTTATTTAATAAAAAAAAAATGTCTTCTGGAATCATTAAAAGCACGACAGTCTAGTAAATTAGTTTTATAGTAAGAGGAGTTTTGCAGTACAAACACAGAGTAGCAATGTGAGTAGTATGAATGGAATTCAGATGTACTACATCCACCATTGATTATCCAGTTACTCTCCATGCACACTACTGAATCTCACCAAAAGTAGCTCATTCTGGTACTTCTCGCATACAGTTTACTATGAATTCAGATACAGTACTAAACTCGCATACTGTTTTTAATTTAATATATAGTAGGGAAGTATGCGATTTTAGATGCAGACCATGTGTTTTCTTAACTTGCAGTGCATTTCAGCTTTCTTGGCCACTGTAGTTCTCTGTATAAGGAAAATGCCATTATTCCTGCTATTCTATCTGCGCCACCTACTGGTGCACAACGAATTAGCTATTTTTATTCAGCCTACTATTATTGTGTAGTACAGTTGTTATGTAAAAGCTGAAATAAAATCAATTGGTATGTTTTTAATTTATATTTTGAAAATAAACAATCTTTTTTGATTATTTTTATTATATAATTATACAGGAAAAATTGACAAAAATTCAATCAGTATTGGCCACAAGAAATCAAGATTACTGCATCATTAGTTATTAATAAATGTCCAGTAGTGAAGTGTGTGTTGAATCAGACTCACTGAAAGCTGGTGGGACACACACAGCTCCACAGTCAAACACACAGCACTTATGTCCTCCTGAACAGTCTCTGTCTGAAGCACATCCTCGACTGGATGGCATCACCGTCAGCTTCCCCGGACAGTGAAGGACCACTGCGCAAATACACACCATATTAATAAAACAATCCTTTAGCATCTGTCAGTCAGTAAATCTGTAGTGTGTGTCTCACACTTTCATGTCATATCCATATCTGTCTGCTTCAAATGCAAAAGCAGCTAAGATACACTGTAAACAATATCTGTTTATTAATAGTTTCCATATTTTTTTATTCAAAAGGGTTTTCTTTTGATGTTGAAAAAACAATTCCACAGTTTAACAAAGTGTCTTTTATTGACATTGTAGTAGTTTAAAATAATAATATAATGTATAATAAATAAAATATAGAGAGAAATAAGAGTGTAAAATAACAGAAAATGTACTGGTAGCGTATTACATTTAGTGTATTACAATGCAAACATTTTATCACTTTAAACTATTAAAAATGTTTAAAAAGGCACTTTTTACAAACTTTTCAAGGTTAAAAGTTGTTGGAAGAAAAATCAAAGTCTCTTAATGCAATTCAAAAGCACAAATAAACGAAAAATAAAAATAAAAACAAATCACAAAATATGTAAAACTGCTAATTTACTGATATTTTTACAGGAAAGCACAATACTGAAAAAAATGCAATATTGTTGTTTAGTTTTGAGATAACCATATATTTTTTTATGATATACAGTTAAAGTTAGAATTATTAGCCTCCCTGAATTATTCGCTCTGTTTATTTTTTTCCCCAATTTCTGTTTAACGGAGAGAAGATTTTTTTCAACACATTTCTAAACATAATAGTTTTAATAACTTATCTTCAAATAACCGATTTCTTTTATCTTTGCCATGAAGACAGTGAATAATATTTTATAAGATATTTTTAAGACACTTCTATACAGCTTAAGTTTAAAAAGTGTATTTTATTTTTATTTGGTTTACATTTTCTGTTTTGGTTAGTTTTCTTTTTAGTTTCATAAATAACATCAAGATATTTTTTTAGCTAAAAATGAAGTTTAAAAAATGTAATTATATTTATATATATAAACTAAATGCAGTTATAAACTAAATGAAGTTTAACAGGATTGTTTTGTTTTTCATTCAGTAAAACTAACAAAGTTTCAAATAAACAAGTCATAAAAACGACACAAACAAATTACTGAGACTTTAAACTAAAATGAGAAAACAGAAACATCAAGTTGATTTACAAATCTCACCTGTGTCGTTAAGTCGTGGAGCGGCAAGTAGTGAGCTCCAGCATCCAGACAGACACAGGAAAAACAGCGCGCTGAGCGAGCAGGAGAGCCGGGCGGTCATCATCCCGAATTGCGAGCACACACTGGGAAGCCCCGCTGCTGCTGCTGCTGCTCGAGAGCAGGAGGGGCGGAGAGAAATCCAGAACCAGAGCTAAACAAAACTACAGTCTGGATTAAATCGTCCGCGAAGTCTCGACACGGTTTCGCTCATCAGTAAACACTTCCGAATATTTGACCCATTGTATTAAATATGATTGCACACCTGGAAGGTTTTTATGCCCTTCAAAGTGCTGGTAGATATTTAGGCTATTGCATCTTATGAGCTCTGTGTCAGCTAAAACTCTTCTTTAATGTTCTGGTGAAGAGTAAAGCCACCCAAGCACCCATATTGAACAGCCTTTTTTGAGTAAATTAAAAGCAAATATTTCATTTTAATTATGGGTAAACCCGGGGTTTTAAAGATTCAATGTGGTCTGTTTTGGAAGCTTGTTTGCACAGATTTTTTTAAAAAAAGTGATTGCTACTTTTCATCCACAAATCTGACTTTCTTTCGTGTAGTTACTGTAGTTAACATCTCATAACTATAACTTTGTGTCAAAGAATTGACTTAATTGCAACTGTGGTTTCATTGTAATACATTAAAAAGTGGCAAAAGCCTGTCAGGAAAAGGCAAAATTGGTGGCAAATGCCATCTTTGGTTTATAAATATTATATTTAAAAAAAGAAGAAAAAAACAGATATTTACTCAGAGGATGGGATACATATTTTGATATGCAATCTCAACAGAATCTATGGAACAAAATCAATGCCAATATATATATATATATATATATATATATATATATATATATATATATATATATATATATATATAATATATATATATAGTGAATAATATAACTCAAATATTTCGCATACATCTTCATAGTTAAATTCAATTCTTCATAATGCTGTAAACTTTTCTATGACCACTAGATGACAGACGAGAGGTTTATAAAATAACAAAGGCATTTTGAGCAGTGCAACAGAAAAACCTGCCAGTGCGACCTTTATAAACAGTATTGTGTGCGAGGCTAAATTATAATGTAATATATATATATATATTATATATATTATATATATATATATATATATATATATATATATATATATATATATATATAGTTTTTTTAGTCTGACAAAAAGCAAATGTAAAATATTTTGTGAAATTTGAAAGAAATCAGAGGATGGCTTTCAATTTGTGTCTTTAATAAGTCAACTATACCCAACATCAGTAAATAAATACAATAAATATATTCAAGTTAATTAAGCTTCAAATTTAGCTTCTAAGAGGGAAAGAAAAAGTAACATCTTTAACCAGAATACAAAATGATCCAAACATTTTTGCAAGTAACAACAAGATTATATAAAGGCTCAGATGCCATAACTTGGATTTTTGAAATGATATGCAATAATTGGTAAAATGATACATAATAATAAATATTATAATAAAAGTCCCTCGGGTTAGTTTGATTTGTGAAAAAAAAGTCCTAAAAAATCTACAAGTGTAGTGTTATTTTCATTTTCAAGCACTCTGAAGTCAATAACAAAACTATACAAAAGCTAATAGTGTATTTTACAGCATCTCAAAGAGATAACATTACGATCTGAAAGCCACTATAGCAGTATCTCACTAATTCATTTATAATTTACATCCAAAGTGGAAATTCCCTTTAAGCATTCATACGGTATCATTTACAGAAAGGCAGCAAAATGTAAACAGCACAGTTTAGAGTTAACAGCCGGGCTTCATGCTTTACACTCTCAATAATGTGCACTAAAGTCAAGGCTGATGTGTAGCTTCTGTAGTTCAAGGAAGCTACTGAAGAAAAAAACACATGTCTGTGAAACTAGTGACTGGTGAAAATATGGACTTGTGATTTAAATGTTGTGTCAAAATAAAGGCCTATTCCCTTCCCTTATAGATCAGAAAAAGGGGTAACACTTAACAAGTTTAGTTCATTAAACATTAGATATTGCATTGGGCATCATGAACTAATAAACTAGTTTATTGCTGCTTTTACTAGTGATAACAATTATACACATGAATTATTATAACATTATACATTGTATAATGTTATATATAATATACATATTATACATATTATTGTTAACTTATTCGTAGTTTGTTAATGTTACCTATAAATGTGAACTGTTAGGTATTACACTATAAATGGTCATAAACTGAAGTGTTATTTATTGCTGAATATTGATTTATATCCTGCATAATTTCATTTTTTATGAATCAGTAACTCTTTACAATAAGGTTGTATGAGTTAATGCATTTACTAACAAAAAACAAACAATGATCAATACATTTATTATGGCATTCATTAATGAATATTAACAGTTAATGGAAATAAAGTTGTTTCTTGTTATTTTAAAGTTTTAATCTTCACAAACATGATTTCTTTTTAATAATCCATTAGTAAATGTTGAACTATGATTAATAAATGCAGCACAATAATATTTTGTTTATTGTTGGTTTATGTGAGTAAATTAATAAATTAATGAAACCTGTAATGTAAATTGTGACCACTTAATCTTGGAGTGATTGATGTATCCTGATATAATTTTTTAAAAATCATTAAAACATGACAATTTTGAAAAGAAAACTTTTGATTTTTAGAAAAGATTTATATTGTATATTTAACGAACACTAGATAACAGCTAGCTGTTATTAGGCTATTAATTAAATGCACTGACCTGAATATCTTTTTCTGAATTAAAAATATTTTTGATGTTTAAAGTTAAATGTGAATAATCTATTATCTTAATTTAAAAAAAACTAAATTTATTATAATATAAATATATTCACACACACACACACACACACACATACACACATATATATATATATATATACATATATATATATATATATATATATATATATATATATATATATATATATATATATATATATATATATATATATATATATATATATATATATACAGTTAAAGTCAGAATTATTAGCCCCCCTGAATTATTAGCACCCCTGTTTATTTTGTCCCCCAATTTCTGTTTAATGGAGGGAAGATTGTTTCAGCACATTTCTAAGCATAATAGTTTTAAAAACTTATTTCTAAAAAATTGATTTATGTAATCTTTGCCATAATTACAGTAAATAATATTTTACTTTATATTTTTCAAGACACTTCTATACAGAAAAAAAAAAATTTCGCTTAAAGGGGCTAATAATTTTGTCCCAAAAATGGTTTTTAAAAAATTAAAAACTGCTTTTATTCTAGCCAAAATAAAACAAATGAAAAAATGTGAAATGTGGAATGTGAAAATTTCCTTGCTTTGTTAAACATCATTTGAGAAATAGAAAAAAAAAAAAAATCAAAAGGGGGCTAATAATTCTGACTTCAACTGTATGTGTGTGTGTGTGTATATTGAGGTCATAAAGTGAATATGTCAAAGTGATACAAGATGATTTAACCTCCTTAAACAAAATTAATTTGTGAAATAAAAAAACTTAAATGATATTTTATTATTAATAGTCAAAAAATATGGAGCCAGATCAGTTTCAAAACTAATACAATTACATAATAAAATTCATATATGCACAGCACAATTCACATTTACAAAATCCAATTTGTAAATATAATTTGTGAAATCACCAAAAAAAATCATTTAGATTTTCACCAAATTAATTGGGTTTGCTTCTTTATGAATCATGTTTTAAATTTAGAAATTGGATTTGTATATTTTTGATTCATGTTTTGAATTTACACATTGGATTTGTGATTATAAATTATGTTTTGAATTTACGAATTGGACTTGTGTGTTTATGAATACCGTCTTGAATTTACAAATTGGATTTGCATATTTCTGAATCTAGTTTTGAATTTATGAATTGGATTTGTGTATTTTTAAATCATGTTTTGAATTAACGAATTGAATTTGTGCGTTTATGAATCATGTTTTGAATTTACAAATTGTATTTGCATATTTTTTGAATACTGTTTTGAATTTACGAATTGGATTTGTGCGTTTATGAATTGTGTTTTGAATTTATGAATTGTATTTGCATTTTTTGAATCGTGTTTTGAATTTACAAATTGCATTTGTGTATTTTGAATTGTGTTTGGAATTTACGAATTGGATTTGTGTATTTTCTAATCGTGTTTTAAATTTTATGAATTGGATTTGCGTATTTTTTAATCAAGTTTTGAATTACCAATTAGATTTTGTAAACGTGAATTTTGTTGTGATCTATGAATTGTATTTTGTAAGTGTATTATTTTTGAGATAGATCTGGCGCCATAAAAAGTGTTGCAGAGTCATGCAGAAAACAGTCATGCAGAGAGATATTTTTATATTCCTAAAATTATATAACTTAAATATCTTTTTCCATTTCTCAGTTTATATAGATAATGTAATTAGGTGCGTTTGAATTAAATAGATATATTGAACGGATAAAAAAATTGAAACTAAACTTTATTTATTTGATTTATTATATAGATTTTTCATTTTCTTATTGTCATTTTTATATTTAATATTTGTCCCAAACATATACAAATTTAGGCTACTAATTTTTGGAACAAGTTTTTTATTAGATTACCTTTAGATTGTAGGTCTCAAACTCGATTCCTGGAGGGCCGCAGCTCTGCACAGTTTTGCTCCAGTCAAACACAGCTGATCAACTAATCATGGCGTTCAAGACTACTATAGACTATTAAGCAGGTGTGAGTTGGGTGTGGCTTGATCTAAACTCTGCAGAGCTGCGGCCCTCCAGGAATTGTTCTATATAGAAATTTTTCAATTAATTGAGATTGAAAGTTGAAAGGGCATTTTAAAGCAACATTAAGTATTGCTTATGGTTCATTTAAAAAACCCAATTCATTAACTAATGTTACACAATCAAATCTTAATTAGTGTTCCCCAAGTAATAAAAAAAAGTCTCTAACAAATACTATTGAAAAGTGCCTGTGAAATGTATGCATATAAAGTGATACAAATAGTGCATTAAAAGAGTTAGTATCAATTCCGGGGGTTTCTTTAGTAAACAACCATAGATACATACAAAATATTGCTTTCAAAATCTTCCAGCATAACTACTAATTCTAATATGTATATATTTAAAAAACACTGGTAAATGCTTACAGGACATCTTCAGTTTTTTTAGCCCTGACCGGCCCTTCGCTATCCTCAATGCTCTCCTTAATAAGACACTCCTTTAGATTGGGCTGATTCCCGATGTCAATCCCCTGCTCCTGGATCTCCTGCAGAAGAGCCTCCCAGCGCCTCTTATCCTTGGAGATCTTCCAGGACAGCCGGACATTAGACTGAAGGAGAGGGACAAGCAATGGGTGCAATTGATGATGTTGCAAAGCCTCCTGGGTAGGCGCTAAATCTTGCAACGCTCGATCGCAATGTTCCTGAGCCTCATTGAGTTGCTCCAGATCCTGGAAGCAAGTCACCAAAGCGGACAGCGTGAAGAACCAGTGAACCCTCTGAAGCTGGTTGAGCTGGAGAAGCTGATGACATCCCAATTTCTCCTGGAGCCTCAAGGAATTGAGAAGAGAGTGTAACGCATCTTGGTATCGCCCCACTCGCATTAGCATCTGTCCCGCACGGAGGTCACCCAGGTAGAAGAACTCCAGGAACGTCGGTGTGGTTCGCAAATCTGGCAGGGAGTGAAGGTGGGTCAGGTATTGCTCAAAGGCCCGGCTGCGTTTAGCGATGGTCTCGGCGGCAAAGTTTTTGCGCAGTTTTTTTCGTGGAAAGTAAACACCGTCTATGTTGCCCCCGTAATGGCGGCGCAAGCGGCTGTGGAGACGTTCGAAGTCAGTGTAGCGGCGTGTGATGACTGCGGGAGTTTTGTCAAATGTTCCAGCGTGGATGACGTGAATTGTGTAGAGCTGGAGAAGATCACAAAAAATATTACATATATTAAAATATAATATAATATTAAATGTAAATCGGACTCAGTAAATTAGATTACTAAACTTAATTTGTGCAATATTTTCAGATTCAAATACAAAAAATATTTTTTTTTAAAAACTGCTTGGCGCCACCTACTGGTGTAACTGTGAAAGATCTAGATATTCAATTTTTTTGTCAAATGAGAATTATAAGACGTTTTTACAACGTGGATGTAATGATTTAATGAATTTAAATTTTATTGCATTTTTATTTGTGAAACTGGAATGGAACAAAACTATGCTGAGATTTTCTAGCAAACCCCAAATCTGATTAGTTACACAAATTAAAGAAATCTCTTCACAGAGTGTGTTTACAAGCACAAAATAAGCAGAGAACTATCAAAAATATGATAATTTCGAAAACCTTTTTTTTTTTTTATTTTATCAAATGCAAACTGGCTACACAGGAAAAACACCAGGGGGCTCAAGTACAAAGAATTGCATTAAATTAATACTAAAACATTGCATACGGACAAAGCTGTAAATGTGCGTACGCAGTAAAAAATTCAGATGTTTGAAACACTGCGTATGCGGAATCCCACACATATTCTCTTTGTTCATCCGAACTAACGTGAAACTGAGAAAATGTAAAACTTTGTTAGGGCGGTATAGCAGGACCACTCCGCTCTAAAGGCAGCGTCACCATCATTTCAGCTGCCCAATCGTAAAACTAGACAACAGTGCCATAGACTAAGGGTTGTACCCATTTACAAATGCTTTTATATGTTCTAAACTAGTAAAAAAAAATTATATTAAAACAATATAAAAACATATTTATAAGCAATCTGGTTATTGCAAAGCTGATGAAATTGAAAGCGAGATTAACAGGTATTCAATCTGTTAAATAATGAAAATGTGTTATATAAAATAATTTAAAATATAAATAGACTATAAAATATGACATATTTTATGTTAAACATTTTAATTTAATTAGGTAATTACACACAAATTTAAATAGTCAGATTTAACACATGAAATGATGTTCAAGATGATAAGTGACCAGAACTATGACTCTTTTCCTTTGCAAATGTTAATGTAGCCTATACTCTTTTTGATTTTTTTATTATTATAACTATTAATCTTTTTCTATGTTTTTTTACAATGTGGATGTCATAATTGTAAGATTTTTGTATTATTTTGATTGTTAAATTTTCAGCATTTTCAAGAATAAATAAATAAATAAAACGCTGATAAAAGTTTCTGCTCACGTTGGTCAAGCTTACTTCCATAAACTATGTCTATATATTATTTATCTAAATAAATAAGCTGAGTTTTAGTTATTTGAAAGTTTATTTCACATTTTTGTGTTTGTAAAGGCTAATACAAATAAAAAGTAAAAAATTTTTGTATTGTTTTTATTTAAAAAAACAAAACGTTATACTTTGCATATTCAGTTTGCAGAGATTTGTAGGTACAGACATCTATTGTGCGTTTTGGCACTTTTTTCCTGTGTTTTTAATATTGTCCATATCAAAATCGGAATTATATTGTATCGACCGAAATTAAGAAATATATTGTGATATAATTTTTTGCCATATCGTCCAGCCCTAAACTACCACAGTTTGTGTTCACTAAACAGTAAGAATGATTAATAAATCCATATGAAACAGTCCCTTAAAAGTCACGTCTCGCTTTCAGTTTCGGGCTCAAGTGAACTGCGCTCAGGCACACCTCTTCCAACTGATTGAGCCTGATTAAGCGCACTCACACTTCTCAAACTATCCGGGAAACGGGCCTGGGCACGGTAAGAATAGCATAGTGTGAGTAGGCCCTAAGGTTGAACATCAACGGGACTGTGAAGCGATTCACCTCACCTGATGACGTAACTTCGTTCGTTGACAGCAAGGGCTAGCGTGAAAAGTGGTCAGATAGCTGTGGGACATGAACACAATAACTCACTGAGTGAGGTTTTATAATTTTGCTGAGAGCATGGTGAGGTTTGTGTTTACCCTATTTTAAGGATATGGATGGTGCAGTTGCCTTCAAAAGAAGAGAATAGTTCTTCCTGCATGTTTAGCAGGATTGTTCGCTTGTATATTTGTATATGTTTTTTGTTTGTTTGTTTGTTTGTTTAAAGCTCTTTTCTGAAGGGTTTGTTTGTTGGAATAGATATGTTTGTCTGTATTTTATCTGCATTGATTGTTTCTGCATTATATAATATCTAGAAAGCTTAGGGTACTTGGAATATTCATGGTATACATAATCCTATCAAACAAAGAAAGATACTAGCTTTTAAAAAAAAAAGAAAAATTGAAATTGCCCATTTACAAGAGACTCATTTGAGTGACACAGAACATTTAAAATTACAACAGGGTGGGCTCGGGCAGACATATTTTTCATCTTTTACATCTAGAAGCAGAGGGGTTGCTTTTCTCATTAAACGTAATTTACCACTGAAAGTTACAAATTGTATTAAAGACAGAGATGGTCGCTATGTTATTATTGAAGGCTTATTTCAAAATAAAACGATTCTTATACTAAATATGCATTATCCACAAAGCTCACCCATCTGACTTTGTTAAAGTATTTTTGGACTTGATTTCCAGATCAGCAGACCCAACAATTGTAGGGGGAGATTTTAATTGTGTATTGAACCCCATTGTATATAGATGCCCACATAATCTGCGTTCGTAACTACTCAGGCAAAATCTCTTCATAACATTTGTAAAGATCTTGGCTTGGCTAGATGTTTGGAGAACTCTTCACCCTGATAATAAAGAATATACATTTTTTTCTAACTCTTATAATTGTCAGTCAAGATTAGATTACTTTTTCATGTCAAAAACAGATCTTCACTTAGTATTATCTTCAGTATTTTATTGTCAGATCATGCTAGTGTCACTATGGAGCTTCAATTTAGTAATACAATTGATTATTCTATACAGTGGAGACTTAGTATTGCAACCCGCAGAGATACAGCATTTTTTTGTTTATTTTTAATTTGAATTTAAATATTTTCTTTCTATTCATTTTTTATCTAAAGATAACCAATCCTTATTATGGGAAACCTGTAAAGCTTACACTAGAGGTTTGATTAATTTCATATACTTCTACTAAAAAGCGTCAAAGAATGGCAAATCAAAGGGATTTGGAGGCTCAGTTATAGGTTAAGGAAATTATGTATAATAGATCTCCTTCAGAAGATTTACTAAAAGAGTTACCAGCAATTAGATCAGCTTTGGATCTTCTTACCATGGAGGCAGAGAAGAAAATAAGATATTCAAAACAAAGATTTTATGAGCATGGGGACAAGCCTGGGAGATTTCTAGCATACAGTATATTACTAAACAACATGCAGCATCCCAATATATTACTGCTATTGTTCATTCAGAAGATAATAGTTTCCATGATAATACAAATATAAATAAATTATTTAAGGATTTTTATATTAATTTATATTCAAGAAAACAAGTGACCATCTTAAACAAATGTTAAACTTCTTTTCTGGTATTAATCTTCCAAAAAATTAAGGTGCACAAAAAGAATCTCCTTATAGTCCAATTTCTAGATTAGAGGTTATCAATCCCATTAATGCTCTGAAGAATGGGAAATCACCATGCCCAGATGGATTTTGTGGAGAGTTTAAGGAATTTCAAGAGTTGCTAGTTGACCCACTGCTTAATATGTTTAATTATTCACTTACAGTTAAAGAGTTACCAAAGTCACTTGGAGAAGCCTGTATTTCGCTGGTAACAATTTACAATAAGTTTCATTAGTTAATGCATTTACTAACATGAACAACACATGTACAGCATTTATTGATCATAATTAAACATTTACTAATGCATTATTAACATCCAAGACAAGTCCATGCTTGTTAACATTAGTTAATGCACCATGAGTTAACATAAATAAACAATGAACTACTGTATTTACATTAACTAACGTTAACTTACATGAACAAATACAGTAGTCAATGAATTTTCCTTGTTTGTTCATGTTAGTAAATGCATTAATTAACATTAACTAATAAACCTTATTGTAAAGTGTGACCATTTCGCTTATATTAAAGAAAGGAAAAAATCCAGAAATATGTTTTTCTTACAGACTAATTACTTTACTGAATATAGATCGGAAGTTGCTATCTAAAAATTTAGCAAGTCGCCTTGAAAAAATTCTGCCTTCAATAATTAGAATTGATCAAACAGCATTTCTACAGAATAGGAATTCATCTGACAACATTAGGCGTCTTTTAAATTTTATTTACACCTTTAACTGTTCTGTATACAAACCTATAGTCTGCTGTATTGACGGATGGCCTCAGATCTGATTATTTTCCTAAGCATAGGGGCACCAGGCAGGGTTGCCCCCTGTCTCCAGTTTTATTTGCGTTGGCTATAGAGCCTCTAGCTGAGGCAATCAGATCAGAAACATACATTTTAGGTTTGCAGATAGGACATAAACATCATAAGATTGCATTATATGCAGAAGATGCTTTTTATTGCTTTTTTATCGAAGCCTGAGAAGTCAGTTCCCATTCTAATTGAGTTAATTAATCGGTTTGGTACCTTCTCTGGTTATAAGATAAATGTAACTAAATCTGAAGCTATGCCATTAGGTAATCTTATTTCCAAACCTAACACTGTGCCCTGATTTCCTTTTAAGTGGTCACCTCTAGGCTTTGTTTATTTAGGAATTTCTATAGCGACATCTTTAAAGCAGATGTACAAATGTAATTTTGTTCCTTTGTTTGATAAAATACAGCAAGATTTAGAAAGTTGCAATTGCTTGCCAGTGTCTTGGGTAGGTCCAATAGCACTAGTAAAAATTATTGTGTTACCCAAATTACTATATCCTATTCGAATGGTTCCTATATTGTTTTCTAACAGAGCATTAAAGGGTCAAAATAGCTGGCTGACTTCCTTTATATGGAGTAAGCGCAAACCTAGGTTAAAAATGTCTGTACTTTATCTGCCAAGTTCTTTGGGAGGGTTGGA